AAATGTCTGAATAATGATCTATAAATTGATAGTTCTAAGTGGTAGGATTTTGATCATATTTTAATTTCCTTTTATACTTTAAAAATACTTCTCTTTGGGGAGGCCTGAGTGACTCACTGGGTTAAGCAGCTACCTTCGGCTCAGGTCATGATCCCAGGGTCCTTAGATTGAACCCCATGTTGGGCTCCCTACTGAGTGGGGATCCTGCTTCTCCCTCTGTCTCTGCTGTTCCCCCTGCTTGTGCTCTCTTGCTCATGCTCTCTCTCTCAAATAAAAATAAAATCTTAAAAAAAAATACTTTTCTTGAACAGTAAACTGCATGATTTCTACAACAAATTACATACAAGTACAAGAAGCATAAAAGAATAGAAATAAAAATGTATTATTTAAGTTCAGGGCACACGGGTAGTCTAGGGCCTGATTGGGGAAACAGGATTGAAAGCAGAAAGCACTTTGGTCAGAGATTGCTAGACTGTGCCATTTGTATTTTATTTGGTAGGAAATGGAGTACCATTTTGGGCCAGAGAGTAAGGCAACTGGATCTTTGTTTTAGGAAAGCTGACTGAGGCCTATGTCTAGGGGTATTTGGTAGGAAATGTAGGAAGAGAGAGATAAATGGTAAAGATCTTTTATTTTTATGATGTTAATTTGTACAAAATGCAATCCCATCGCAATCCAGTATCATACATTTTTCTGTCTTGGTAAAAATTATACTAAAATTTGTCTAGAAACTTAAGTGAAAGTAACAAAACAGTATTACCTATTTTATAAGGTTTTCATGAGGAGTGAATGGTTACATTTTAAGGGCTTATCATCATGCTGGGCATGAGGTATGTGGTCAGTAAATGTTACCATTATCCATCATGACCATCATCCTTCCTTGTTACATAGATTCTCCATCAGCTTAATTTTACTGATCTTTTAATTAGATCAATGTTCGTTTAACAGTTTACTTGAGGGCACCTGGGTGGTTCAGTTAAGCATCCAACTCTTGATTTCAGCTCAGGTCTTGATGTTAGGATCGTGAGTTCAAACCCTGCGTTGGCCTCCACACTATGTGTGGAGCCTACGTAAAGAAAAAGACGGGTGCCTGGGTGGCTCAGTCAGTTAAGCAACTGCCTCTTGATTTTGGCTTAGGTCCTGTTCTCAGGGTTGTGAGGTTGAGCCGTGAGTCCTGTTCCCTGCCTTGGGCTCCGTGCTGGGCATAAAGCCTGCCTAAGATTCTTGCTTTCCGTCTCCCTCTGCCGCTCCCCCCACCCCGGCGCCCCCCACCAACACTGCCGCAGGTGGTTGTACACTCTCTCTCTCTTTAAAAACAAAAAAACCAATTTACTTGAAGTGATGTATTTCCCACCCCCACCCCAGTAATTTTTCTCTTCCAGAAACTACTAGGTTTTTTGAGATATTGATGAACTATATTTTTAGACACCGTTATATCTGTAACATTGCAAATAAGTATCCCTCAATTTTTGGTCTTCGAAGAGAATTTACTGAAGCTCCCTTCAAGCAGTATAAAGTCCTGCCTATGTTTTGCTATAGTTTTGCTGTTACTAATGAGATCATGGGTAAGTCAGAGGTTTCTCAGTTTTGAAGTTTATAATACTGGATAAGTTGTAAAGGTTATTATTATGTAAGGCTTGAGGAAACTGTTATGCCAATTTTACTTTAACAAAAATAGAAAAACTGGGAAGAAAATTCACTAACATCGTGAAGGAGTCTCTGGTTGGTGGGACTATTGGTGATTTTTTTAATTCTAAATTTTATACAGTAATCATACATTTTTTTAAAAACCAGAAGATGAAAATAAAGGTCTGTGTTCTAAAGACAGGCACCTTTTCTCTCTCCCATCCCTCACTCATTGGTTCACTGACTTTGGGCAAGTCACATACCATCTCAGAGCCTTTATTTCTTTATCTGGAAAAGGTAAGGATCAGGGACGCCTGGGTGGCTCAGTTGGTTAAGAAGCTGCCTTCGGCTCAGGTCATGATCCCAGCGTCCTGGGATCGAGTCCCACATCGGGCTCCTTGCTCATCGGGGAGCCTGCTTCTCCCTCTGCCTCTGCCTGCCATTCTGTCTGCCTGTGCTTGCTCTCTCTCCCTCTCTCTCTCTGAG